CACCGCCCCCTGCTGGCGGCGGCGAGCGCGGTGGCGGCGGGCGGGGGCGAGGCCGGAGAGCCCTGCAGGGAGGAGGGGTGCGTGGCTGATGGGGATAGGCAGGTACAAACGCGTCTGGCGGCGGATGAGAAGGAGCAGGGTGTGGCAGCGTGTGGGGAGTGAGAAGGATTTGGGGTGCCCCAGGACCTGAAGTTGCCACACCTTGGACACCCAACCCATTGCCCCAGGCTACCCACACCTACACCCCATCCCGGCTCTGAGCCACCGTGGGGGGGACTGGGGCTCTGCCTTCCCCGTGGCGCCCGGGCTTGGTGGACTGCAGCCTCTGGTTCCCCACACCCAAGCCACAGAGCCCAGGAAGGAAGGGGGGGCTTCCCCCTTGGAGGGTCTTATCTCTGATCCCCGAATGCGTGTGCGTGTGTGTGCATGCACGTCTGATCTGTGCCCTCCTGCCTGTGGCCTCGTCTCTGCCTGTCCCTCCCCTCGTCCCTCCTTCCTCTCCTCATCCTGGCAGCCCGCTCCACCCCTGCTGCAGCTCCACGATAACCCTTGGGCAAGATTGTTACCTAATCTCCCTCCTGGCCCTCTCCAGCCTTCATCCGGCTTTCTTTCTCCCAGCAGACGCCCGCCCGCCTGGCCTGGCAGCCATGAGGCCCCCATGGTGTCGCCTGCGAGCGCGCTCCCGGCCTTCCCTCCTCCTCCTCCTCCTCTTCTCCCTCCTGGGTGGAGGACTGGAGGTGGAGGGGCGGGAGGACCCAGAGCTGCTGGTGACCGTCCGGGGAGGCCACCTGCGCGGGATTCGCCTGAAGGCGCCTGGGGGCCCTGTGTCCGCGTTTCTGGGCATCCCCTTCGCGGAGCCACCTGTAGGCCCCCGTCGATTTCTGCCACCAGAGCCCAAGCGGCCCTGGCCAGGAGTGCTGGACGCCACGACCTTCCAGAATGTCTGCTATCAATACGTGGACACCCTGTACCCTGGTTTTGAGGGCACCGAGATGTGGAACCCCAACCGTGAGCTGAGCGAGGACTGCCTGTACCTCAATGTGTGGACACCGTACCCCCGGCCTGCAACCCCTGCACCAGTCCTCGTCTGGATCTACGGAGGCGGCTTCTACAGCGGGGCCTCCTCCCTGGACGTGTATGACGGCCGTTTCCTGGCGCGGGCGGAGGGCACCGTGCTGGTATCCATGAACTACCGAGTGGGAAGTTTCGGCTTCTTGGCCCTGCCAGGAAGCAGAGAGGCCCCAGGCAACGTGGGCTTACTGGATCAGAGGCTCGCACTGCAGTGGGTCCGAGAGAATGTGGCAGTCTTTGGGGGGGACCCGGCGTCGGTGACCCTGTTTGGGGAGAGCGCAGGGGCAGCCTCTGTGGGCATGCACCTGCTGTCCCCGCCCAGCCGGAGCCTCTTCCACAGGGCCATCCTGCAGAGCGGGACCCCTAACGGGCCCTGGGCCACTGTGGGGGTGGGAGAGGCGCGTCGCAGGGCCACGCTGCTGGCCCGCCTCGTGGGTTGTCCCCCAGGCGGCGCCGGCAGCAATGACACAGAGCTAGTGGCCTGCCTGCGGACTCGGCCAGCTCAGGACCTGGTGGACCACGAGTGGCATGTGTTACCTCAAGAAAGCATCTTCCGCTTCTCCTTCGTGCCCGTGGTCGATGGGGACTTCCTCAGTGACACCCCCGAGGCCCTGACCACCACCGGAGACTTCCACGGCTTGCAGGTGACGTGAGGGTGGAGGAGCTGGCGCCTCTGGGTCTCACCTGGCCCCCTCCCTTCACCCCAGGGATCCAGGCATGAGGGCCCCTTCACACCCACTCTCAGTGGTCCAGGCTTATGAGCCCCAGGGCTACTCCCCCCCCCAAAAAAAAATCAAACACCAAACAAGGCTCAGACGGGGTGGGGGTAGCAGGAAGGAACTGTGGGTATATTTTCTCTTTTTTTTTTTCCCCATCCCTTCCCTGATCTGTTCTCTGCCTCCATGGTTCCAGGGCTATAACTTCATCTCTCTGGCTCTGTGTCTGTCTGTCTACCTGTCTTGTCTGTCTGTCTATGCTCCAACACCTCCCATCCTGTCCTCAACCCCCAGGTGCTGGTGGGGGTGGTAAAAGATGAGGGCTCCTATTTTCTGGTTTACGGGGCCCCAGGTTTCAGCAAAGACAACGAATCTCTCATCAATCGGGCCCAGTTCCTGGCTGGGGTGCGGGTTGGGGTCCCCCAAGCAAGCGACCTGGCAGCGGAGGCTGTGGTCCTACATTACACAGACTGGCTGAACCCGGAGGACCCAGCCCGCCTGCGAGAAGCCATGAGCGCCATTGTGGGCGACCACAACGTCGTGTGCCCCGTGGCCCAGCTGGCTGGGCGGCTGGCTGCCCAAGGCGCCCGCGTCTATGCCTACGTCTTTGAGCACCGTGCCTCCACGCTGTCCTGGCCCCTCTGGATGGGAGTGCCCCACGGCTATGAGATTGAGTTCATCTTTGGGCTCCCCTTGGACCCCGCGCTGAACTACACCATAGAGGAGAGAGTCTTTGCCCAGCGATTGATGAGATACTGGACCAACTTTGCCCGCACAGGGTCAGCAGCACTCTGGGTCAGAGGGAGGGCAAGGGATGGGCTCTCGTAGAAAGGCAGAGAAGACAAGAAAAAGGAAAGAAAACAGGGATGGAGAAGCCACAGACAGGCATGGAAAATCCTGAAGAGACAGGAACAGCCTTAGAGAAAGAGCAGAAAAGCATTTTGCCTAGCATGCTTGGGAACTTGGGTTCTATTCCCAGCAAGGGGGGAAGAATAGAATAGTGGAGGAAGAGGAGAGACAGAGGAAGGCAAGAGAAGAGGCAGATGAAAAGAGTCAAAGGAGTCTGTAATCAATCTCAGGAGGCTGAGATCTGAGGATCACAGTTTGAAGAAAGTCCAAGGGACTCTTATCTCCGATTAACCAGCAAAAATCCAAAAATGGAACTTGGGCTCAAGTGGTAGAGCACTAGCCTTGAGCACAAAAGCTAAGGGACAGCACATAGGCCCTCCCTGAGTTCAAGACCCAGGGCCAGTGCAACACAGGTGTGTGGGGAGCTGTAGTTAGGAGTGGCTGTACAACTGGATGAAGCTGTTGAGCCAGCAGTGGTTTATTTATGGTCTCTCTCTACCCACATCCACACATAGCTGTACTTGTCCAAAACGGGGACTAATAAGTGCAGCATCAGATGGATACCGCCCCAAATAAGGGTGATGTGCAAAGGGACCAGACAGCTCCTGGTTAAGCCGTAAAGCTCAATTGTAGCTTTGTGTGTGTGTGTGTGAGTGAGATACTGGGACTTGAACCCAAAAGTTTTGTACTAGGTAGATGGGAACTTAATTGCAGCCTAGCAATTAAAGCGGGACGCAAACAAAAAGACCAAGGAGGGGAAGAAAGAAAAGGGACAGAGAGGAAGGGCAGGAGGAGAGGAAGACCCCTCGATGATGGGGAGCCCTGCTGCGGGAGGGAGATGAGGGTATGGGGAGCTGAAGCCACCACCAGCGCCCCCCCCCACTCCGGTCAGGAGGCGGACCCCGCACCTCCCTCATTCCCCCGGGAAGCAGGGCTCCGAGGGGCTGAGCCTTCCCTCTCCTCCCGCAGGGACCCCAATGACGCCGGGGACCCCACGGCCGCGCAGTGGCCGCCCTACACGCCGGGCGCGCAGCAGTACGTGGGCCTGGGCCTGCGGCCGCTGGAGGTGCGGCGCGGGCTGCGCGCCCAGGCCTGCGCCTTCTGGAACCGCTTCCTCCCCAAGCTGCTCAGCGCCACGGGTACGGGGACCCCGGGGAGGGGTCGGGGTGCAGCCGGGCGGGGCGGGCCGGCCGCGTGTAACCCCCCCCCCTCTTCTCCCCACCCCAGCCTCCGAGGCTCCCGGCACCGGGCCGGGCCCCGCCCGCGGGGAGGCGGCCCCGAGGCCCCGGCCCGGCCTCCTCTTCCTCCTCCCCCTCCTCTCCCGGCTTCGGCGGCTCTGACCCCGGCCTCTCCCCCAACCTCCGGCCGCGGGGCCCCTCCGTGCGCGGTGGGACGCGGGGGAGGCCCCAGCACCCGCGCGTGGAATTGCTAACGCCATTGTTGTTGCACGAGCGTAAAGTCATCCTCATCCCCGGGACCCGAGCCGGCGGGGCGGGAGGGGCCGGGCGCGGCGCCTCGCCGCGGGGTCTAACCGCTCCGGTCTCTTTTCTCCCCCTCTCGCCTCGGCCTTTTCCGCCCCCCCCCGCCCCCGCGCCCTCCCTCCCCCCTCCCCCGCGTCTCCCCCTCCCCTCTCCCGGCGCCCCCCCTCCGCCCCCGCGTCTCCCCCCTCCCCGCGCCCTCCCGGCGCCCCCCCGCCCCCGCGTCTCCCCCCTCCCCCGCGTCTCCCCCTCCCCCGCGCCCTCCCCTCCCCCGCGCCCTCCCCTCTCCCGGCGCCCTCCCCTCCCCCGCGCCCTCCCCCCTCCCCCGCGCCCCCCCTCCGCCCCCGGCGGCCCCTCCCCACGCCGTGCCGGCCGCAGACACGCTGGACGAGGCGGAGCGCCAGTGGAAGGCCGAGTTCCATCGTTGGAGCTCCTACATGGTGCACTGGAAGAACCAGTTCGACCATTACAGCAAGCAGGACCGCTGCTCGGACCTGTGAGGAGACCTGCTGTACATACTCTTATTTATTTACGGTCTGGACTGTAGCAGACGACCCCAGACCGCGCTCCCCGCCAGCCCGCCCCCTGGGCTCCCGCCCTCTGCATGTCCCGGGCCGAGCTCCCTCCCCCGCGGTGCCTTCGCCCCTCGGGGCTGCCAATAAACTGTTATAGCCACGGCGCGTGCGCGACTGGGAACCGGGCCGGGGACCGGTGGGGGCGGGAGGACCCGCCCAAAGGACCCGCGTGAGAGAGGCGGGGCGGAGTTCACTGCGGGGAGAGCATGCTGGGCGCAGGCGCAAAGGCCGCTGCCCCGCCCTTGCCGCAGGCCCCGCCTGCTCGGCGGAGCTCGCACCTGCGCAGTGGAGTGCGAGGGCAGCAGTGCACTGTGGGAATCCCCGCTCGGCGTGGCCGCGGCCGCCGCGTCGGTCATCCTGCGGACGTCTCGGGCTGGGCAAGCGCGCTCCGCCCGCCAGTCCCGACCTCAGGGAACCCAGTCTACGCCGAGGAAGCCCAGACCCAGTTACGCCGTGCGTAGTCGGTGATGGGGGCTGCAGCACCGCTGCGGGACGTCCACCGGGGCCTGGTCCCGCCGAGCGGCGGCCCCGCGCGCGTGGCCCTCCTGTCGGGCCACTACCTCTACTACCACTATGGCTGCGACGGCCTGGACGACCGCGGCTGGGGCTGCGGCTACCGCACGCTGCAGACGCTGTGCTCCTGGCCCGAGGGCCGCCCTACCCGCGTGCCGGCACTGGACGCCGTGCAGGCCGCCCTGGAGGACATGGGCGACAAGCCCCCCGGCTTCTGCGGCTCCCGGAGCTGGATAGGCTGCGTGGAAGCCAGCCTCTGCCTCGACCACTTCGAGGGCCCCGTGGGGCGCTTGTGCCACGTACCCCGCGGAGCTGGGCTCCAGGGGGTGCTGGAGAAGCTCTACTCCCACTTCGCGGGGGGCGGAGGCCCCGTGATGGTGGGAGGGGACGCAGACGCCCGCTCCAAGGCCCTGCTGGGAGTCTGCCTCGAGCCCGGCGGCCAGGCCTACGTGCTGATACTGGACCCGCACTACTGGGGCACCCCCCAAAGCCCCAATGAACTGCAAGCCGGCGGGTGGGTGGGCTGGAGAGAGGTGAGCACAGCCTTTGACTCCCACTCCTTCTACAACCTGTGCCTGACCAGCCGGAACCCTCAGAAGCAGCCACCCACCCTGGACTGAGGGCCTGGGCCCAGAACTGAAGCGCCCCCCATGTGCACCTAACTCAGGGCTCCCAGCAGAGCCTGTCCTCCCTGGTCAGAAATAAAGTGGCCCCAGCAGGTGCAGGCATTCGGGCCCATCAGGGAAGGTGATGATGGACACAGAGTCACTACTTGAAGTGCTTTTATTGGCAGTAATGCTAACGTACAAAAATTTCTCAGCTGAAGGGACAAGGCAGTCACAAGTACAGACAACACTAGTGAGGGGCAGAGGGGTCAAAAGAAATCCACGTCATCGGGGGCATCCAGGTCCCGGTACTCCACAATGGCCCTGGGATCTCCTCGAACCATCCTGTGAGGTTGGAGAGGCAGATGAGAGTGGGCACCCCCCACTCTCGAGTTTGAAGAAGGCAAAGATGGCCATTTGGGCTCTGGCTCACCTGTTGCGAGGTTTTCCGGGATAACCTCCCTGGCCTCGGAAGGCATCATAGTTCCCGCGGCCAGCACCATAGGGAGCATGGGGATACGGAGGCCCTCCTGTGGGGACTGCAGGGCGCACAGCTCCTGATAGGACAGAGCTACAGCTCACCCACAGCCTAGCTCAGCCTTCTTCCTCCCAGCTACCTTCCACACAGCCACCGAGCTCCTTCCATCTCCCTCTCGAACTTACCTCCATAGCCCAAGATGGGAGGCCGAGGTTGACCATAGGGCATCAGACCCTGGGGCGTCTGGTGTGGGTAGGGGAGTCCCGGGGTTAGGCCTGGGGGGAGTACAACATGGACAGGGACATGAATTACTGCGGGAGGGGGGAGGGGAGGGGAGGGAATGTACCTAGGACAAATGACTTGTATGAATATGGCCCAAGTGGGTGGGGAAAGCCTGCAGTCAAGGAGAGACTGCCAGACCCCCATGGATCGTATCTTACTCTGGGCAGGGCCTGGAGGCTGAGCTGGCTTGATCTCAGGGAGAGCTGGGCGCTTGGCATCCGTGAGGAAGTTGTTAAAAAACGCCACCTCCTTTTTCACTTCCTCAATCTTCTCCGCATGCTTGTTGAAGATGTGTTTACGCACAAACTCTGGACCCTAGGTAGAGAGGAGGTCAGTGCAGAGCAAACCATGTGGGTTCCTTGTTCCCACACTCAAGCCAGAAGGTCCCCAGCCCCCCTCCTCCTCCCACACCACCGTCTAGCCCACCAGTTCTCAGCATCCCAGACCTTGAATTTCTTGCCACTGAGAGGACATAGCCACTTATCCTTGCCCAGTTCTTGGGTGTTGGAGGTGACAAACTTTTCCACTTCCTGCTCAGGATCTTTGCGCCCCATCTTCTGGGCCTCTTCCTCTGAGAGGGATTCCCTCACGCTCAGCAGGGGAGTCAGCTTCTCCTCAAAGGTCTTCTGCCACTCCAGCACTGGGTTGGAGAACAGAAGCACAGGTTGGAGGAGGGAACTGGCACAAGGCCAAGGAGGCAGCGACTAGCCAGCTGAAAGGAGGGAAATCTGGGGAGCCGGCACTCACCCTCTCCATGGCTGATGCGGTTGGGAGGCATGGGCCCCCGGACATGGATGATGCCACAGCGGTTGGGCATCTCGTCCTCATTGGGGTACTCACAGGTGTTGTAGTAATCCAGGGAATGCACAATGCGTAAATAGAGAAGGAGCTTGTCCAAAACCTACAGAGCACAGGAAGCCTGGTCACCACTCCATCTCCTCCACCTCTGCCCTGCTGCACTCACCCCATGCCCGGCCCTCACTGGCACCTTGATCAACTTCTCATCACGCTCCACATTTATCTCTGCCGGGTTCCCTTCCTTGGGAGGCTCTTCAGGGGGGGCCCCCCCGCTGCTCCCCAGCAGTTCCTCCTCCTCAGCACTGACTTCCTCTATCAGGTAATCAGTAATGTTCTTCAAAATTGGATTTTGCGAGGGCAGACTCTGGTGAGAAGAGACAGGGTGTGGAGGCAGAGCCCCTCCAGGTGGGCAACCAGGGGAGCCATGCATTGAAGGCACTTCTGAACGTGTTCCACTAGGCCACAGTGACCACAGTGGTCTGTGCTACAGAAGCCACCACCCAGACACCACAGGGCCAAAGTGAGGGTGGGCTGAGTCCCAGGAGGCATGGGCTGTTTTGGAAACTGAACCCCAGGGAGTCACTGACTGTTGGCAGAGTTGGCAGTGGAGGTGTGCCAGGCTCCGAGGCCCAGAGCTGCGTCCTGTCATCCAGCGTGTGGATCAGCTTGGCGGCCAGCTTGATGTCATTGCGCACAATCTGCTTGTGCTGTGTGATGCCATTGATGTTGCGGACACGCCTGGTCAGGTCCCTGTTAACACCGGGGCTCAGCTCACACTCCCGGAGCTGGAGGGACACAAAGCAGGAAGCTGACCACCTGCCCTGGGAGCAGAGCTCAGAGAATGTGCTCCATCCGTGCCAACGCACCTGGGTGGGGACAGGAGGGGTCTGGCCCACACACCTCCCCACACTTACTCGGATGTTCTGCAGGTTCCAGCAGATCTCCTTAATGTTAACACTGCGGTCAAAGGTCACCCAGCCACGCCGGAAAAACCTAGGTGAGGAAGGAATGTGAGCATCGTTCCCAGCGCCTCCCCCTGCACCCTCCCCCCACCCCCCCACCCCCGTCCAGTCTCACCTCCTCTCCGGCTGGGGCTCGGACAGCGCCACACGCATAAAACCTGGGTATCTCTTACATAGCTGTGTAAAGGGGAGCAGAAGAGCTATGAGTGATCCCTAAATGCACCTCTTCCTCCGACTCCAACTTCCCTCAGAACCCTGAGGAAATCTGGTTTCCTTTTCTTGGGCGGTACTGGGGATCAAACCCTAGGCTTCCAGTGCAAAATGCCCTTTAACCCTCCCCATGCTGGGCAAGAGCAAAAGCTGACAAGCCTAAGAACAGAATCCCCCCAAGGATCCTCCAAGGGCAGGTGATAGAAGGGGACCCCACTAGGTGCCAGACTGCCTTCTCACAGGCAGTCTATGTGCCCACCCACAGGACCCACTTCCCCACTCACAGACGTGATCTCAGCCCGGGAAATGTTGGGTGCGATGTTGCGCATGAAGAGGGAACAGGTCTTGTGCAGCGGCCGGGGCTTGCACTCCAACCCCACCGCGTCCTTGGCCTTCTCCTTTTCGTCTTCCTTGGGCTTCTCCTTTTCCTTGACCGCATCTTCTGGGCATGAACAAGCAGGGGTTGGTTTAGTGGGGAGCCGGGGAAGCTGGTGCTGCACAATAGGAGAGGTGGTTCCACATCCTACCCTTCCTGGCCCGGGCAGCACAAAAAACCCACCGGCCTCCTCTTTCTCCTCCTCTGCCTGGCCGTTCTCGGACTCCGACTCCGACTCAGACACACTGCCTTCATCAAAGCTGTCACCACCACTGTGTTTCCTGTTCCGCTTCTTGCTCTGTGGACACCACAGGAGTGGGTGGCATCAGGCACAGCCAAGGCCTGGCCCCCATAGGCTGGCCCCATGCACAAGACACCAGATCACCTTTTTGGCTTCCTTCTCGGAGTCTTCTTTCTTCTCCTCATCTCCATCCCCTTCAGACTTCTTGGTTTTGTCATCGCTGGAATTACCATTTTCAGCCTACAAGCGGAGATGTTCACTGGAACTGCCTGTCATCCCCTCTCACCTTTGTGAGGCTCCTCTCCCACCCCACTAGATGAACCCCAGTTCTAGCTCCTTGGGGCCATCAGCCCACCTGTTTGCCATCTTCTTTCTTATCATCCTTCTCATTGGCCTTGCGCTCTCCATCCCCCAGGCCTGGGCCGACCCGGCCTTCTTCCTTCTTACTGGGCTCTCCTGGTTTTCCAGCCTGCTCCTCCTCCTCCTCCTGCTCCAGGATGCGCAGATCATTCTCTGTGCCTCCTTCCATCTTAATCACAGCTGCCAACAAAGACAGACACGCTCACAATCTGAAGACCTGCCTCCTGCCCACCTGCTCCCACCCTATCAGTGCCCGCACCTGCATCCAGCATCTTGACGATGGCATCTGCTTTGTCTATGTCCAGGAGGAGGTTATCAAACCAGCCACTGTCCATGAGGGACAGGAAGACCCTCAGCCGGTTCTGCAGGCCCCCCCGGGCCTCCTGCCGACGCTTCCCCACCTCATCAGGGTGGTACTTAGACCGAAACCTGGGAAGGAAGCAGGAGGCAAAGACAGAGCCGTAAGCAGAGGCCCAGGCAGTTTGTGGGGAGGGGCCCAGGAAAGGCAGGGCAAAGCCCCCATCCTCACCCACAAAAGGCCATAAAAGCAGAGATTGGGGAGAGGGGTGCACTAGAACCACCCCACACCCCAAAAGGAACCACAGGTTGTGCTCTGAAGTGATCTGGGAGAAAATCAGGAGCTTAGAACTCTGGGTTTGGGGAAGACAAAGGACCACAGGGCGGGCCGGCCTCTGGGGAACACCGACAGGAAAGATGTTGTTCCCCAGAGCTTGAAAAAGAAGTAGAAACAAGAGGGCCCAGAGAACCCCCTCTCCAGGCTAACCCCAAACTACAGTCACCAGAGGTGCTCCCGCCAGCTCCCTCCACCCGGGTGGAGAAGGAAGGAAACCTGAAGTACATTGGATAGAAAACCAAAGGCAGGGCCACCTTCCCCACGGGAAGATAAGCGAGAGGTAAAGGGGCAGGAAAAGGCAGAAGTGCCCAGAGCCTCAGGGACTGCCCAGAGGGGGGACAGAAGGGCTGCTGGGTTAAGATGGAGGGCGGAGTGAGAGAAATGAAACACTGCACTGGTGCATGGTGGGAGAAGGAGGTATTAGAATATTAGGAGTATAAGAAAAAGAGGAAAGGGGAAATGTGAAAAAGGCCCAGAGATTTAAAACAGAGTGAAAACTAAAGTACCAAACAGAAAACAACACAAGAGGGAGGAAGGTTAGGCAGAAAAGGAGCAGAGACAGAGAGAACAACAGGTATGTGAGAGATCCAGACACAGACAAACAGAGTGACGAGAAAGGGGACAGGAGAACAGAACAGAACCACAAGTTGAGCAGAGGAAAGGAAAGCCGCAGGCGTCACCTCCACGATCTTTACCTTGGCTGCTTGGTCAAACAGAGCTCAAGATTTAACTAGTGGCGCCCAGGGCCCATGCTGGCTGGCGGGCGGGCGCCGGCTGGCTCCTGGCTGGGGCTCCCGGCCCAGACGCCCCAGCCCCGCGGGACTGCGCGGTGGGGGGCCCTGACTGACTAACTGCCTGAGCGATCACATTCAGCTAAGCTGCTGCATTGTGCACAGCAGCGCCCTGCCTGTCTGCCTGGCCGGGGCCCGCGCGGCTCAGCCCAGGGGCTCATGTTTGGGCTGGGTATGGTGGGGGTGGAGGTGGGTTTGCTCCGAGCTCCGTCGATGAGCGGGTGTAGTTCCCAGTTCTGGCTCTTTTCAAGGAGGAGGAGCAGAAAGAGGATGAGGAGGAGGAGCAGGAAGGGGGGAAAAGATGGTTGATTAAAATTAAAACATCCACAAAAGAAAAAAAAACGCATTCTTTTTCTGTCAAACGGCCCTGAGATCTTTGCTTTTCTTGTCTGGATTCACTGGTCGCCTTTGGGAGGATGCCACAGCAAACAGGTCCTGGCGATCAGAGACGGCCCAGTACCAGCAGGTGGGAGGCAGACTGCCTGCTGCCCCGAGGGGCCAGCTGCCTGGAGGTGTCTCAGTGAAGACAGTGGAGAAGGGAGATGGCATGGGGGCCGTGGCAGTCACTGAAGTAAGGAGACCCATCAGCCAATGCTGCCCCCGCCCCCTCCCACAGGAAGTCCAGGACTAGGGGGAGGGATGAGGACAGGGCTGCAGCAGGGCTAGGCAAAGGCAGCCAGGGAGGAGAGCCACTCACCACTCCTCATCTTTGTGAGCCAGGAAGAAGTCCTGCATCTGCTGTCTGCGGAAGTCCAGCTTGTAGTCATTGTAGCGCTTCACTGCCTCTGTCTCGTCCACGGAGTCATCCAACGAGAGCAGAAACTCCTTGAAGCTCTTCATCACGGGCGGCGGCACACCCAGGTCAATCTCAGCAATGCTGCCCAGCCTGCAGGTGGGAAGGTGTGCTTGTGGGGGAGAGGACACTGTGGCCAGCAGCCCCCCCCCTCCCCACATACCTGTGCCCACCCCACTCCCTGGCTCTAGCCCACAAGCCTGGCAAGCAGACCTCTGTGCCCAGAACCCAGGATCTTTACCTGGCCTGTATAGGCAGGACGTGGTGCTGCATGATGTGGACGTCTGGGTGGCCCCAGGGCTGGGGGGGGCCGTAAGTCGGGCCCCCTCCCCCCCCAGCATAGGGCATCTCATAGCCACTGTGGTAAGGGTCAGAGCTGTGCTCATCCCTGGGGGTGAAGAACACAAAGGTCAGGAAAGCAGGCAGCACAAAGGAGTGCAAGGAGGCAGGGCATGCCTGCAGCCTCCAGCCTAAGTCTGAGGGGACCAAGGAACTTGGGGTGTGCGGGGGGGGGGGGGGGGGTGGCTTTGGATAGAAGGAGGGATGTGTAGAGGCCATGTGTCCTCACCAGTCTCTCCGCATGCGCTTCTGGGGCGGGCTGAGCTCATGGCGTGGGGGAGAGAACCGCTCCCGTCGATTCCGGTCGTAGTCTCGATATTCTCCCCGACTGCGGCGTTCTCGGCCTCGGTCCCACTCCCTGAGGTAAGGACAGGGCCAGTGGTTATGGACACAGCTGGTACATCAGGGTGTCTCAGCCCCAGGAGGCAGAGGTAGGAGGACTGAGTTTCAGGACAGCTGGGGCTCTGTAGCAATACCTGTCTATACAACCAGGCCTGTGGTGCAGCTCCTGTTTAGCCTGTCCCAGATCACAAGACGTCAGCCCCCATCACTGCAAATGCACCATCAGAGCCCAGCCCACGTGGCTCTCGGGGGAGCATACACTAAAAGAGACTGAGCTGGTTCCCACCCAGCTCACCCCTAACTCCCCTGACCTCACCAAACACTGCCCTGCACTGGTCCCTTCAGCAATGCTATTCTCCCCCTTCCCTGCTCTCAAGTCATCTTCCCCAAGCAACATGAGCTAAAATGGCAGCAAACATCCCTGATCAACACTCTGGCTTTTCCTGGCTGGCCAGTACCAGTGCCTCATCCCCCTTTGCCCATGTGAGGCCAGCACACAGCCCCACTCAGAAATCACTGCTCCACTGTGGCAAATTATCAGCATTTACGTACCCCAAACTAAGACGAAATCTTACCTATTTGTCTTGAAATTATGAACTGACACAAGCTACATAATTTCTGAGGGAAAAAAAAAAATCACTCCTTCCCATCCTCAAAAAACTAGAAGTGTTTTGTTTTTGTAATTTTATGAACCTCTTCAAAGCCTGCCTTAGGTTGGGTGCTGGTGGCTCACACCTGTAATCCTAGCAATATAGCAAGCTGAGATCTGAGGATCAAGGTACAAACACAGCCCAGGCAGGAAAGTCTCTGAGACTTTCATCTCCAATTAACCACCCTCAAAAAAGCTACAAGTGGAGCTGTGGCAGAGCACTAGCCTTGACCAAGAGAAGCTGAGAAGCCAGGCACCAGTGGTTCACACCTGGAATCCTAGCTACTAAGGAGACTGAGATCTGAGGATCACGGTTCAAAGCCAGCTGGGGCAGGAAAGACTGTGAGAACTCTGGGCCTGGGCGCTGTCCCTCAGCTCTTCAGCTCAAGGCTAGCGCTCTACCACTTGAGCCACAGCGCCACTTCTGGCTTTTTTTCTTTTTGCTTATGGGGTGCTGAGGAATCCAACCCAGGGCCTCAGGCATGCAAGGCAAGCGCTCTACCACTGAGCCACCTTCCCAGCCCCATGTGAGACTCTTATCTCCAATAAATTACTCAGAAAATCCAAGTGGCACAGTGGCTTAAGTGGTAGAGCGCTCACCTTGAGCTGAAAAGCTGAGGAGACAGCGTTCAGGCCTAGAGTTCAAGACCCATGACCAAAAAAAAAAAGTAAAGAGTAGCTGAAACTAAAACCACACTAGTGAACATCTTGTCCTTTCTACCATCCCCTGTTAACAGTTCTTGGGGTGAGTTATCTCAGTATCAAATTAAAGTATTCATTAGTGTGCTACTTATCACAAGTCTTCAAGCACTGGGAAGCTGCCAGGCTCACATTGGTAGATACAAGTTTTCAAAAGTTTTGGCTTAGCCGGGAGCGGGTGGCTCATGCCTATAAGCCTAGCTACTCAGGAGGCTAAGATCTGAGGATCACCGATCATAGCAAGCCCAGGCAAAAAAGTCTGAGACTCATCTCCAATAAACCACTAGAAAACCGGAAGTGGCGCTGTGGCTCAAGCGGTAGAGTGCTCACCTAGAGCTGAAGAGCGCAGGGACAGCGCCCAAGCCCAGAGTTCAAGCCCTGTGACCGACCCCCCCAAAAAAAAGTTTTGGCTTTTGGGCTGGAATGTACTCAGTGGCAAAGCTCTTGCCTAGCAAGTGCAACATCATGGGTTCGATCCCCAGTACCAAAAAAGACAAAATACAGTTTTAAAAAACCAACCAAACTAATAACCCTTTGGCAGGTACCAGTGGCTCACGCCTGTAATCCTAGCTTCTCAGGAGGCAGAGATATGAGGATAGTGGTTCAAAGACAGCCTGGGCAGGAAAATCCACGAGACTCATTTCCAATAAAAACCAAAGAAAACTGGGAGTGGCACTGTGGCTCAAGTGGAAGAGCGCTAGCTTTGAGCTGAAGAGCTGAGGAACAGTGCCCAGGCCCAGAGATCAAGCCCCATGACCAACAACAAAAAAAAAGTTTTGGCTTTCACTGGAAATATTCCAAGTCATCACTGGCAACAAATACTGAGGACTCTCCTCAAAGAAACTGCTCCCCTTACTTCATTCTCAAGGTGTATGCAAATGCCACTCAAGACCCTATGGACAGAAAAAAGTACTTCAACTCTGAACTCCAAATCAACTCACAATTGTTATTGCTCAAGATACAAGAATGTCACAATCAAACTCCTCACACTGTACAATTACAGTACACAGAGAAAATGCATGGAGAGACCTGCGGGCAGTAATATGCTTTCTGCACACCTCTTTCCTCCTAGCACTGGAAAGATGGGGAGGCTGGGATGGGACTTCACATAGAGCTTGTGAAGCATGCATAAGGAATCTGGTTCCAACCACAGCATCACAAAAGGACAGAGATTACATCTACCTAAAACTCCATTCAAAGCAGACACTGGTGGCTCATCCCTGTAATGCTAGCTACCCCCAAGAGGTTGAGATCTAAGAATATCAGTTTGAAGCCAGCAGGGGCAGGAAAAGTCTGAGAGTCTCTTAATCTCCAATGAACCACCAGAAACCCAAAGGGGGGCTGTAGTGACAGAGCTCCAGCTTGAGTTAAAAAAAACAAACAAGAGGGCCTGGGAAGGTGGCTCAGTGGTAGAGTGCTTGCCTTGCATGCATGAGGCCCTAAGTTCAATTCCTCAGCACCATATAAACAGAAAAAAAGCCAGAAGTGGTGCTATGGCTCAAGTGGTAGAGCACTAGCCTTGAGCTGAAGAGGTGAGGGACAGCGCCCAGGCCCAGAGTTCAGGCCCCAAGATGGGAAAAAAAAAAAAAAAAAGCACAAAGCCCTGAGTTCAAACCACGGTACTGGCACGCACCACACACACACACACAAAAGGACTTCTCAGAAAGCTAATCGGGAGCTGCTTCAAACAATCAATTAAGCATATCTGGCCATGTCCAATGACTCTGCTTGAATACTGCTGTCCTGCTAGAGAAAGACAATTCCTTGGCCATCAGGTACTTTTTTTTAGAAACCTTTTCAATAATTAGCAACCAAAAAAAAAAGGGGGGGGGCTCTTTCGGTGCCTGTATAAACTGTACTTTTTACGTACACCCCAAATTCGTACTTCTACCGCTTGGATCTCAAGGGCATTTCCAGAAAAATGAAGCCACAGCTCGTTCTTTGACTCAAGAGCACAAAGCAGGGACCAACGAGGAGCTAACTGCGTTGTAACGTGTCACCCCAACGCAGTCACCAAGGCGGAGGCAAGTGAGGACCGGGGGGGGGGGGGGGGGGGGTCTGGGTCCCCGCTGCGGCCCGGCGGGAGCCGCGTCGCGGGGCGGCGGCTCCGGTACCTGTCATTCCAGTCGTCGCCTCGCCGCCTTTCGTCTCTTTCCCGGGATCGGTCATAGTCGCTGCGCTCCCGTCGGAACTTGTCCCTGCGCCTCCGGTCGTACTCGTCGTCGCTGTCGCCCATGGTGAGGTCTGCAGAGGCCTGGGCCCCAGGGAGGAGGAGGAGGAGGGAGGCGCGACGTGACCGACCCGGACCGAAGATGCGGCGGCACCGCACCGGGGGAGGCGGGCACGGCCGCCTCCCTCCCGCCAAGGCCGGCCGGCCGGGGGGACCTGGCGATCCGCGGCCGGTGGCGGGTTCGGGGCTCGAGGTTCCGGTCTCCGGGGAGGGGGGTGGGGGGTTCCCGCCCCGCCCCGCCCACGCGGCCCGCAGCCCCTCCCCCACCTGGAGCGACCGCGGCCGTTAGCCCCGCGCGCCTGCGGGCGTCTTCCGGGCACACGACGAGAACGGTGGGGACGAGAGGGGAACGTGCGGCTCTCAGCCAAGGGGCCGGGGGGACTGGGGGGGAGCGGGGACGGCGGAGACGGAGCGGCGGCCGCGCGCCTGGGCCGCACGCACGCACGCACGCACGCACGCACGCCCCGCCGTGCGACCCAGGCCCCGCGAGGCCCGAAGGAGGGAAAAGGGGGACGCGAGGGATGACGGGAAGGGGCGGAGCCACGGAAGTCTCGCGCGCCTCCTGAGCGCGAAGGCGCGAACACCGAGGGAACTACGGGAGCCCGGCGGGTCCACCTGGGATCTCGCGAGGGCGGGCAGCAAGTGCTCTCGGGAGCCCTTCCTCAGACCGGACGTCAGAAGTCAGAGGTCGCAGGGCGCGCCCCCCCCCCCCCCGGCCCCCCATCTCCTTTCTGTCAACCAGTTCACGTCCTGGACTTTGAAACGGTCTCGGATCTCCTCGGGACGCGGGGTCCCGGCACTGCAACCATTTTGCAGTGCGGCCCACCATTTTCTGCACCTTCAAGGGAACCAGCCTTTCTGATTTTGCGCGGGTCCTGGGGCTCGAACTCAGGGCCTGGAGGCCCGAGGCTGGCGCTCTGCCTCCTGGAGTCAGTCATCGCACCACTCGCGGCTTTTTGAGCGGTTTACTGGAGAGAAGTCTCACGGGATTTCCCGCGTGGGCTGGCTTCTCACCGCCATCCTCGGATCTCAGCCTGCTGAGTAGCTGGGATTACAGGCGTGAGCCTCGGCACGGGCCTGAGAACCAGCCTTTATTGGCACAGCACACACCGTTTGCAAAACCAAGCGTGCCCCGCGCGCACGGGACTGGCAGATCTGTCATTAACCTCCATGCTCTGATGACAGACAAGCTGTGGGGTACAGGCCTGAGCCACAAGCAGCGTCCGCCGGCCTCAGGCTCCATGTCCCAAATCCCTTTACAGTGAGTGAATGTGAAGTGTAACGGAAATGCTCCGTTCCTGAGTGTGTGGCCTTGCTTCCACCACTGACCAGGGATGGTTTTGCACCTAACTACGTTTAAAAGAGTTTAGTACAGCTAGGTTCCCATGCCGGCTCAGGCCTGTAATCGTAGCAATTCGGGAGGTGGAGACTTGGAAGAACGAATTGAGGCTAGCCTGGGCAGAAAGGTTGGTGAGACTCCCATCTCCAAAATAACCAGTGAAAAGGGACTGGAGGTGTGTGTGTCTCCAATGGAAGAGCATCAGTCTAGCAAGCATGAAGCCCTGAGTCTAAACCCCAGTACAAACAACAACAAAAAAGCCAGACGCTGGTGGTTCACACCTGTAATCCTAGCTACTTGGGAGGCCGAGATTTGAGGATTGGGATCCAAAGCCAGCCCAGGCAGCAAAGTCCATGAGATTCTTTTTTTTTTTTGCCAGTCATGGGGCCTGAGTTCTGGGCCTGGGCACTGTCCCTCAGCTCTTCAGATCAAGGCTAGCGCTCTACCACTTGAGCCACAGTGCCACTTCCAGCTTTTTCTGCTTATGTGGTGCTGAGGAATCGAACCCAGGGCCTCATGCATGCAAGGCAAGCACTCTACCACTGAGCCACCTTCCCAGCCCCCATGAGATTATCTCCAATTATCCACTAGAAAACCAGAAGTGGGGCTATGGCTCAGAGTGGTAGAGAGCCTGAGCAAAAGAGATCAGGAACAGTGCCTAGACCTTAGTTCAAGCCTCCCACAACTGTCAAAAAAGAGTAGAGGCTGGGAGTATAGATCAGTGGAAGACAGCTTGCTCTGCATAAGTGAAACCTTGGGCTGATTCATCCCCAGTACTGAATGACAGAAAAAGAAAAAAAAAAAAAAGACAACATCAGAACACAATTTAAAAAGGAACCAGCACTAAGAACACTGAAGTCCGGACCCAGCTTCGATCATTTGAGAAGTTTGAAATCTGTGTTTATATCGGTTGGGCTCAGATGACACGAGTCTTTTGTAAACGCTTGAGGGGTTATTATTTCACGAGTGAGGGAAGAAGAGACAGCATTAGGTGACACATTGTAATGGCAGCTGTCAGGGAGGGTGGCAGATGGACAGGACTGGGCGACAATGCTCCCTGGAGACTCAGCAGTCAGTGGTGACGGTGGCTGACAGCTCCTGGATGCGCCAGGCGCTGCAGGCCTTGCAGAGGATGTGCCCGTCCAGCGGGTAGCAGCCCTGACACTCACCCTCAGAAGATAGCAGCAGCCCACACTCCTGTTGGAAGAAGCAACAGCTCTCCATCAGTGCCCTTTCCTGCTCCCCAGGCCCTGCAAACCTCTTGCTTTAGCCCCAGGCCCCCTCTCACCTCACACTTGTAACAGCCAATGTGAAAGCTGCGATCCAGAGCCACGATTCTCACCGTCTCCTCCTGGCCCGGCTCAGGCATGATGGCTCTACCACACACAGAGCACCTTGGGGCAAACTTCCTGGGGTATGGAAGGGAAGCAAGGTGGCTGTGAGGCTCCGTGGTCCATGGCAGGGACTCATGGTAGAACCCTGAGGAGATGGAAAGCGGGGAGGAGCCAGGGGCGACATCTTGGATCAAAACAAAGATAGTGATGTCAAGTCAGAGAAGGGAGAGTCAGGTGCTACTCAGGAAGCTCAGATCTGAAGATTACGGTTCAAAAACTAGTTAGGGCAGAGAAAATAAATAAATCTGAGACTCTTATCTCCAATGAACTAGCAAGAAGCTGGACATGGAGGTGTGACTCAAACCGAAAAGGACCAGCCTTAATCAGAAAAAGCCAACAGAGAGTAAAACCCTGAGTTCAAGCCTCAGTATTGGCAATGAGAGAGGAAAGGGAAGCTGGGTACTGATGGTTCACGCCTGTAATCTAGCTACTCAGGAGGCTGAGATCTGAAGATCGCGGTTCAAAGACAGCACAGGCAGGAAAATCTGTGAGACTCTTATCTCCAATAAACCACCAGAAAACTGGAAGTGGTACTGAGACTCTTATCTCCAATAAACCACTAGAAAACTGGAGGTGGCACTGTGGCTCAAGTGGTAGAGCACACTACTGGAGCTGAAGAGCTGAGGGACAGCGCCCAGGCCCAGAGTTCAAGCCCCACAACTGACAAAAAAAAAAAAGGAGAGAGAGAGAGAAGAGGAGGTGCCAGTGGGACATGAAGGACAGATGAAGTAGGATAGCAAAATAGTCTGCACTGTAATCCCAGCTACTTGAGAGGCAGCGATTGGGAGGATCACAGTTCCAGACTAGCTTAAGCAAAAAAATGAGACACCCTGATCTCAGCCAAAAAGCAACCAGTGGCTCACACTTATAATTCTAACTAGTAGGCTGAGATCTGAGGATCAAGGTTCTAAGGCAGGCTGAGCAGGAAAGTCTGTAAGATTCTTATCTCCAATTAGCCAGAAGTATAGCTCAACTGGTAGACAGCCAGCATTGACCAAAAAGAACAAAAATCAATGGGCTGGGAAGGTGGCTCAGTGGTAGAGCGCTTGCCTTGCATACATGAGGCCTGGGTTCGATTCCTAAGCACCACATAAGCAGAAAAAAAGCCGGAAGTGGCTGTGGCTCAAGTGGTAGAGTGCTAGCCTTGAACTGAAGAGCTAAGGGACAGCACCCAGGCCCAGAATTCAGGCCCCACAACTGGACCAAAAAAAAAAAAAAAGAACCAAAATCAAAAACAGAAAAAAAAAACTGTAGGGACAGCACTCACTCCCTGAATTCAAACCCCAGGACTGGCACCACATACACACACACACACACACACAGACACACACACACAAAGCAAAAAGGATTGAGGGCACAGCACAGTGGCTCAGGTAGTAGAGGACCTGCCTAGCAAGCACAAGGCCCCACCTCAGTACCACTAAAAAAAAGAGAGAGAAAAAAAAAAGAAAGAGGAGGGGCTGGGAAGGTGGCTTAGTGGTAGAGTGCTTGCCTAGCATGCATGAAACCCTGGGTTCAATTCCTCAGTACTACATACACAGAAAAAGCCAGAAGTGGCACTGTGGCTCAAGTGGTAGAGCACTATCCTTGAGCAAAAGAAGCTCACGGACAGCATTCAGGCCCTGAGTTCAAGCCCCAGGATTGGCAAAAAGAAAGAGAAAGGAAGTGAGACATCTTGAGACTGGGCAAGTCCCAGGCATGACCTGTGGAAGTCTTCAATGCAGTGGATCTGGCTGGTGGCATCCACAGTGAAGGGGATGCCGTCCAGGCCACGGTGGCACACCACACAGGTGAAGCAGCCGGGGTGGTAGGCCTTGCCCATGGCCCGGAGGATCCGGTCCAGGATAGGCTGGGAACATGTAGAGCATTTCTCCAAGGTGGCCTGTTGAGAAAGAAGACAGGAAGGTGAGAGGCAAGCGCTCCAGCACCCCACCCACCCTGCTGCCTGTGTGCTGTAACCCCCTGCCCTGCCCTGCCCTGCCCAGGATGCACAGAAAGGCAGATAACTATTCACATCCTAGCCCCACAGCTTCCCAAATAAGGAGCACATCTGAGCTTCTGGGTCCCTATAAAAATCAATCCGGCCGGGCACCGGTGGCTCACACCGGTAATCCTAGCTACTCAAGAGGCTGATCTGAGGATCATGGTTTAGACAGCCCAGGCAGGAAGGGCTGTGAGGCTCTTATCTCCAATTAACCACCAGAAAACCAGAAGTGGCGCAGTGGCTCAAGTGGTAGAATGCTCACGTTGAGCTGAAGAGTGAGGGACAGTGCCAGGCCCAGGGTTCAAGACACATAACCGACAAGAAAAAAAAAAAAAAATCAATCTGTCGTGATCTCTGTTTCCCAGGGGTTCATGGAAATTCTACACATGGCCTCATGTTTGTTGGTCAGAAGACTGACATTTGAAGATTGTAATTTGAAGCCACCATGGGCAGCAAAGTCTGTGAGACTCTTGTCTCCAGTTATCCAACAAAAACGCAGAAGTGCAGGTGTGCCTCAAATGGTTGCATACCTCAAATGGTTGAGCAAACAAGCTTAAATGAGAACAAGGCTCTGAATTCAAGTTCTACAAAATAAAAAAGTAACGGTAATCCTCTGCAGAAATTAGTATTTAGCTTGCCTACCTGCTTGCATGCGCACGCACGCACGCACGCTCTCTCTCTCTCTCTCTCTCTCTCTCTCTCTCTCCTCTTTTTTCTTTTTCTTTTTTTGTGGGGGGCAGGTATTTCAAGTCAGGGCCTCATACTGGCTAGGCTAAGTGCTTTACCACTTGAGCCATGTCCTCAAGTCCTGCCTTTTGCTATTTATTCTGGAGCATGGCAATTCTCAAATCTCAGCCTCTTGAGTAGCTAGGATGATGATAGGTGTAAATTGCCAGTGCCTGGCCAGTTAAGGTCATAGGAACATTCCTGCCCAAGCTGGCTGATATTAATGATCCTCCAGACCTTAGCCTCCAAGGTAGCCAGGATTACATGTATTAGGCATCAGTGCCCAGATTTTAGCTGCTTACTTTCTCACTGCTGCCCCATTCAAGCCTTCTTTGCTCCTTTGGGTTTGTCTATCTGGATCCTCCTGTCTCTCTGCCTCCGCGCAGCCAACTACCTACCACGTAACAGCTCTCACAATAGGCCCTTCTCTCCACCGCGTAGAAATGCTGGCCTCGGAGCTGCGCCCGGCATGTTGAACACACAAAGCAGCCAACATGGAAGACACGGTCCAGGGCCACGACCCCAGCTCCATCTCCAACCACAACTTCTCCACAGCCACCACACCGGCCTGGGGAACAGGGAGGGACAGATCAACCTGCACAGGACAGCAGATCAGCAGCCCCCTTCCCTCCCCCTCCTTCCCACTGAGGCATCTCACCAAAATACTCCCCACTAGGCGGGTGGCTCATGTCCTGCATCAGCTTCTTGGTGAGTCTCTCCAGCTCCTCCTCCGGAGGCTGGCTCAGGGGGCCCTGGAGCGTGAATCAGATCATCAGTGGGAATATGGTTCCTGTAAAAAAATCCCTCAGGGGAGGCTGGGAATGTGGCTTAATGACAGAGTGCTTGCATAGCAGGCATGAAGCCCTGGGTTTGATTCCTCAGTACCACATAAACAGAAAAAGCCAGAAGTGGCGCTGTGGCTCAAGTGGTAGAGTGCTAGCCTTGAGCAAAAGAAGCTCAGGAACAGTGCCCAGGCCGTGAGTTTAAGCCCTACCTCTAGTCCCCAACCCACCCAATCAGTCTCTCAGTTCTGACTCCAAGCCCTCCCACCCCGTCCATGGCCAGACTTACCTGGTGCCCATGCCCGCTTCCTCTTCCTCCTCCTACAGTGCCTGAGACCCCGGCAACTTCCTCTTTGCTTCCTGGCCCTGGCTCACGGTGGTTCCTGTAGCCAAGCCCCCAGACTTCACCTCGGCCTGGGAGAGGAAAGTGAGGGCCCAGGAGGGGCCCAGAAGCCTGCGGGGCCCCTCGCCTGGGTGGGCCACAGCCTCTCACAGGTTGAGCTACTTTGACTTGCACTGGGAAGGCCGGACCAGCTGGGGTGCTGGCGGTAGCATAGGAGGCCGGAGTGGGGCCCCCATAGGGGGATGCTGGGAGCAGTGGGGATGGACCAGTCCCTCCATTGGACTTCAGGGAGCCGGGGCGGTAGGCAGGGGGTGGAGGAGGGTCATAGGCCTGAGGAGAAATGCAAAGCAGCTGCTATAAGCAACGTTTTCAGACCCAGTGTGGCAAGTTTCCCAGAGAAGCCCAGGCCTTTGTTTTTTAGTGCTAGTCCTGGGGCTTGAACTCAGGGCCTGAGTCTTGGCCCTGGGCTTCTTTAGCTTAAAGCTAGTATTGTTCTAACCCTTTGAGCCTCAGCTCCACTTTTGTTTTTTAAGTAGTTTATTGGAGATAAGCTTCTCACAGGCTTTCCTGCCTGGGCTGGCTTCGAACAATGATCCTTAGATCTCAGTCTCCTGAGTAGACTCCTGAGTGAGCTACCTGTACCTGGCTGAAAGCCCAGCTTTTGACAAGGTGCAGCCCTCCAGCAGCTGACAGGCCAGGAAGGACCTCCTATCTGCTCCCTACTAGGAAATCTTCGGTTTCCTAGAGGGCAGAAGCTACTGCCCACCAGAGGTGGGAGAAGAGGCTGGGCACGAGGGGGGGACAGGGATGTCACCTGTCGATCAGGGCGACGTGGGGGAACATGACTGCGACCCCCATCCAGCTCAGCCAGCATACAGGTCAACGAATCTATCTCTGCATCCAGACTTCCGGGGCGCAGACACCCCCTGTCTGGAGGGAGCCCCTGGATGAAGTCAAAGCAAGGAGAAGAAGGATACATTTACAATGTGTCTTCTCCAATCCTGCATCTCTCTCTCTCTCTCTCTCTCTCTCTCTCTCTCTCTCTCTCTCTCTCTCTCTCTCACACACACACACACACACACACACGCCACCATCAGACCCTTCCCCCTCAGTCCTCACCTGTAAACGTTGGGGTGCCCCATGGGACCCCACCCAGGCTGGACCCCGATCCTCTGGTCCCCCAGAAGGCTGGTAACACTGCTCAGATGGGAGGGGGCAAAAATTGACCCTGGGATGGGGCTGGAGCGCTGTGGGGAAGGGGACAGAGATCAAAAGGGGGGCTGGAGGACAGAGGGGTTCAACCTCGGGAGGCCAATCTCCAGCCCTGTCCTCTCCTAGCACCTGGGGAGAGCAGGAAACTGGGGCGGGAGGCGGGGAGGGCTGCAGGGCCCAGCCAGCTTGGGGAAGATGTAGAAGGCCGATGGGGCCTGGTCAGGGCAGTGGGGGGCAGAGATGGACGGGGCGGTGGGGGGTCTCGTCGGCGGCTTACCTGCTCCGTGGGGCGGCAGCGGCCCCGGGGGCCCTCGGGGAAGCGCCCTTCCCTGAGGAGTTCTGGCGGGCTCTGGCTGCTTTGGGGGGAGCCAGGTGGGCCCCGACATGGTCTGGAACTGAGGGGACTCCAGGCAGCAGTCAGGACCCCAAGGGGCCGGGGCTCCGCGGCCTCGTGGCCCGCTTCCTGCCCTCCACTTCGTTTGGGACTCCAGCAAAGAAACTTTTTTCTGGCTTTTTTTTTTTTTTTTCCTCCTCCTTCTTCCCCAATTTTGGGACGGCCACGCCCCCGGTGACGTCACCGCATTCCTGGGGGCGAGTCACATGGCTCTCCAGGCCCTAATCTGCGGTCCCTCCCTCCCCTGGGCTGGCCCCCCCCTCCCGCCTGGGGGAGGGTGGATCTCCACTGGACACGGGGTGCCCACGGGCTGGGAGGTGCAGGCCAGGCCAGCCCCACCCCCACCCCTGCACCCCCTTCCCAGCCCACCCTCCTCACCCTTTCCTCCCCACCCCCGCAGTGCTCAGCCAGGACCTTAGTGTCTAAGTCTTTTATTTATGATCAGCAGTTAGAAAAAAAAAAAAGAAAACAAAACAAAATCACCACCATCCAAGGGGGGGCCCGGAGAGTTTGTGGCCAGGATGTGGACGCTGAGGTAGCCTAGAGTCACAGGAGGCCAGCTCCTCCGGTCAAGGCACCAGTGAAGGGAAAGGCCGGGCATCAGGGGGAGGGCTGCAGACACCCCCACTCCTGTGCCAGGGGGTCCAGCTCAGCATTAGTGCATGAGGTCCCAGGATGTCCCCCCTGAAAATGCCAGATTCTGCAACCCCCAAGGGCAGGCCCTGCACAGGCCGGGGCTTCGTTAGTATGAAGCTGGACCTTCTCCACCTGACCCTAAGCATCAGAGGTCGGTGCAGGTGACCGGGGTGACACCGTGGGCAAGCAGCGTGGGCCCCAGGTCTCGGCTCAGTGTCTCCAGCAGTGCCAAGTATCGGGTATACCGGGAAGGATCGGCAGGTGGCCGGGGCAGGTACAGGAAGGTGAGGGCAGTGGTGGGCCCTTCCTTGCCCTCCCCGCCCTCAGGGCCCCCAGGCCCCCCTCCATTGCCTTGTCCCTGCTGGGCCCGCACCAAGGCGTTGGCACTGGCGGCCAGAGACTCTGCCTCGGCATCTCCTTGCCCACCGTTCACAAAGTCCCCTTCCACTTCTTCCTCCTGCTCCCTGCCTGGGGTCCCCTCACCCCACACCACCTCCCGCACCTCAGCTCGAATCCGCAGCTGGCTCAGCAAAGCCCTGAGACGCCCCTCGGCCGCCCCAGGAGCCTCCTCGGGCCCAAGGCACAGGAAGATCCGAAGGCGGGCACTGTGCCAGGCGGGCACCATGCCCAAAATGGTAGCCATCTGGAGCAGAAAGAGGCCACAGACATCCACATAGCCAGGCCCCCCTCGGGGCCGCAGCAGGTTGAGGGGCCACACATCTACGTGATGTATCTGAGATGGGTTCCCAGACCCCCGACTCAGCCTCTCGGGGGGCAAAGCCCCACAGGCCCGAGCCAGAACCACATTCTTATTCATCTTCAGGGCGTCTGCCACAGTGGCCACGTAGTCCTGGGGACTAAGTGCCCGGGGGCTCCCCGGAGCCCGCGGGGGAGGGAACAACGTGCTCAGGGATGGGGACCCTCCCTCCCAGGTGCCATCTTCAGGTTCAGAGAAAGCCGGGTCTGTCAGGAAATGGTCCTGGGGAGGAGAATCATCATAAAACCCCAGGACCAAGGTGTTGGGTTTCATGCCACCTGCAGAGAGGGCAGAGAGGAGGAGGAGGCACAAAGAACAAAGGAATCACACTCAGGCTGAGGAGACTCCATGCAAGATGCGCCCACTCACACAGAACAGCGGCAGGCACCAGCTGGGACACGGTACATCCTCACTCCCCAGCTCTGAGGTCAACATTATATACCTTTGCACAGCCACTTGGTTTCCTTAAACATTCTCACAGGCCTTTATCTCTGCAATCTGTCTCCGAGTTCAACTATAGTCAGTGTCTGTCTCTCTCTATTTCTTACTCTCTCTCTCTCACACACACACATGACCATACTAGGGCTTGAACTCACAGCCTAGGCACTCTCCCTTTACATTTTCCACCCAAGGCTTGGCAGGCTATCACTTGAGCTATACCTCCATACCTCCATTGCTGGTTTGTTGGTGGTTGACTGGAGAGTCAAGTCTCACAAATTCTTTTTTTTTTTTTCCGCCATGGCTGACTTTGAACCACAATCCTCAAATCTCAGCCTCTGGGAGTAGTTTAGGATTACAGGCATGAGCTATTACACTTGGCCTAATTTAGGATGCTTTTAACAAAGGCACACTCCACAGCCATGGAGAATAAGTAAGTTAGGACCATTGTCAGCCTTATACAGCTTAACATTTTCCATGATGGGGAAATGAATTGAATCTAAACAACATCCTGACAATAAAGCTCATGGCCTTGGCCCTCTGAGAATTGGTACCTAGACTCTGCCTGGGAATAGAGGATGGGCTGGGCTTTCCAGCTGTGGTAAGGATAGTGGACCACAGCCTGGTGGCCAAGAGAAAACAGGTAACAGCCACACGCCCACCTGCGGCTGTGCCCTACAGAAACCTCGGGTGTGTTATCTCATTTGAGGCCACGCTATGAGATAAGTATAACTTATAACTCCCCCTTTATAGATAAGGAACTAGACGCTCTACCCAGTGGAGTCACTGGCCTCCAGCCTCAGGGCTGATTGGGCTCCAGCTCACAAGTAAACAGTCCACCCACACCAAAACCCCTCAGAGCCATCAAGCTGGCAAGGGACCAGCCTTCAAGTCCCTAATCTTCTCAGTGCCACAGCTGGGGGAGGGAGAGAGACAGAGGGAAGAGGGGAGGGAGAGATGGGGGGGAGCATGTGTGCATTTATGCCAGGCACTAGTAGCTCATGCCTATAAGCCTAGCTACTCAAGATTGTGGTATGAAGCCAGACCAGACAGGAAAGTTCATCAGACTTTTATCTTCAATTAACCACCAAAAAGCAGAAAGTGGAGCTGTATGCAGCTCGAGTGGTTAGAGCACCAGCTTTGGGCAAAAGGCTTGGTGACAAGACCCCTGCCCTGAAGTTAAACCAGCACTGGCACAGAAACAAACAAAAAAACCTCTCAGTAGGCTGGAATTACACCCCATCTTGTACCTCCTGTGGCACTTTCCAGCATTCTGACTTACCCCAGGAGGGCAAGGTCTAGTGTTGTTGAACTTTAGCCTTTGTCCAAGTAGAGAACACATTCTATCCTCGGATTAAGAAGGTAGGAAGAGTGTGACAGTGTCCAAAAAGAAATGCACTGGGCTGGGAAGGTGGCTCAGTGGTAGAGTGCCTGTCTTGCATGCATGAGGCCCTGGGTTTGATTCCTCAGCACCACATAAGCAGAAAAAGCCAGAAGTGGCGCTGTGGCTCAAGTGGTAGAGCGCTAGCCTTGAACTGAAGAGCTGAGGGACAGCGCCCAGGCCCAGAGTTCAGGCCCCACAACCAGCAAAAAAAAAAGGAAAGAGAGAAAAGTGCTCTTGGGGCTGGGAATGTGGCTTAGTGGTAGAGTGCTTGCCTAGCATGCATGAAGCCCTTGATTTGATTCCTCAGTACCATATAAACAGAAAAAGCCGGAAGTGGCGCTGTGGCTGTGGTAGAATGCTAGCTTTGAGCAAAAGAAGCTCAGGGACAGTGCCCAGGCCCTGAGTTCAACCCCTCAGAACTGGCCAAAAAAAAAGGTACTCTTTCTCTGACTTATATAACTGTCACCCCTCTGTACATCACCTTTATAATAATAAAAATATTTCAAAGAAGTGGGGGGAGAAAGGCGTAGGAAGAAGGGAAAGGAGGAAGGGGAGGGAGAGAATGAGAGGGGGAGGAAGGGAGGAGGAGGAGATGGGATTTGGAGCAGCCTGGGTTACAAGGCTAGAGGCCACTGTGCTAAGAATCACAGAGCTGGTCATGTTCCATTACACAAACATCAGCCCCCCCACTCCCTCGGGCATCCTTTGGAGGTGTCAGGGGCCACATTCCACTCCTCCCTGCCGAGTGAGCCTTTTCAAGCCTGGCTGCAGTACCATCTCACCCACAAAAGCTTCACTGACCACATCAGTCCCCTGTGGTCTTGCTGTCTCTGAACTCAGTGGTCAGAAGACAGATGTTTCAAGAAAGCCCAAGGCTCACATGCTCCCACTGTCTCTAGAAAAGCACTCTTCAGAGTCCAAATAGTCTCTGATTTGGGTTCTGAAAAACAACAACAACAACACAGCAAGATGGGTGCAGGAGGCTCAGACCTGTAATCCCATCTCCTCAGGAGGCTGAGATCTGAGGATCACAGTTCAAAGCCAGCCTGGAGCCAGGTGTTGGTGTCTCATGCCTGTAATTCTAGCTACTCAGGATCGGATTCAAAACTAGGTAAGGCAGCCGGGCGTTGGTGGCTCACGCCTGTAATCCTAGCTACTCAGGAGGCTGAGATCCTGAGGATCATGGTTCAAAGCCAGCCCTGGCAGGAAAGTCCATGAAACTCTTATCTCCAATTAGCCACCAGAAAACCAAAAGTGGCGCTGTGGCTCAAGTGGTAGAGCACTAGCCTTGAGCTGAAGAGCTGAGGGACAACGCTCAGGCCCAGAGTTCAAGCCCCAGGACCAACAAAAAAAAAAAAAAAAACTTGCCAAGGCAGAAAAGTCCTGTGAGACTCTTATCTTCAATTAACCACTCAAAAACCAAAGGTGGAGCTGTGGCTCAAAGTAATAGAGCACTATCCTTGAGCAAAAGAGCTCAGGGACAGCATCTAGGCTCTGAGTTCAAGCCCCACAACCCACCAACTACCCACCCCCACCCCCACCCCCCGGGGGGGAAAAAAAAAAGGGCTGGGTATGTGGCTTAGTGGTAGAATGCTTGCCTAGCAAGCATGAATCCCTGGGTTCAATTCCTCAGTACCATATACACAGAAAAAGCTGGAAGTGGCACTGTGGCTCAAGTGGTAAAAAGTGCTAGCCTTGAGCAAAAGAAGCTCAGGGACAGTGCCTAGACCCTGAGTTCAAGTCCCAGGACTGACAAAAAAAGAAGAAAAAAAAAAGCCTGGAGAAAAAAAAATCCTTGAGTCTTATCTCCAATTAACCAACAAAAAATTAGAAGTAGAAGGTGTAGCTTAATTGATAGAATGGCAGCCTTGAGCAGAAAAAGCTCAGCAATAGTGCCCAGACCCTGAGTTCAAGTCCCAGGACTGGCATAAAAGAAAGGAAGGGAATGAAGAATTGGAGAGGGGGGCAGGGCAGAAGAGAAAGAGGAAAAAGAGAGAAAGAAAGCCAGGAGCTGATGGCTCATGCCTGTAATCCTAGCTACTCAGGAGGCTGAGATCTGAGGATCGCAGTTCAAAGCCAGCCCGGGCAGGAAAGTCCGTGAGACTCTTATCTCTAGTAAACCACCAGAAAACTGGAAGTGGTGCTGTGGCTCAAGTGGTAGAGCGCTAGCCTTGAGCTGAAGATCTGAGGGACAGTGCTCAGGCCCAGAGTTCAAGGCCCACAACCAACAAAAAGAGAGAGAGAGAGAGAGACAGAAAGAGAAAGAGAAAGAAAAAGCAAGCAAAAAGGAAAGAAAGACAGATGAACAGATAACAAGGGCAATGTGTCTCTCACAATCTTGTCTTGGGGCTACTCTGTAGAGCCTTATCACCCTGTCTGCGGTTGGTTAATCTTCCTTGTCTAATCTTGTGCCTCCTGCATTCTGCAGTCTGGGGTTAGTGTCTTGGGGGAGGGGAGCAGGGATTTAAAGGGGCCACAGAGAGGACCTGAGGAGACCCGGGGCAGAGAGGCTCACCAAGACCCGAGATCCTCAACAGATGCTGCGCCCCCTGGCGCACAGAGGGTGAGAGGGTAAGATCCACAAAGGCCTTCACTTGGGCCCGGTCCACCAGGCTCAGCCAAGCCCCGTACTGTGGCTGCACAGGGTCGGAGGGCAGGGAGTCTGTGGATGAAGAGAGGAAGAGGGCATTGTAGCACTAGCTCATCAAGTCTTTGGGAAGCCAAATGCCAAGTTGGATCTGAATAGGGCTGGGGCTATTCATCAGAAAAGCAGCAGAGCCAGCACTAGTGGTTCACCCCTGTCCTCCTAGCTAATCAGGAGGCCTAGATATGAGGATCATACTTCAATTTCAGCAAAAGTCCATGAGACTCTTAACTCCAATGAACCACTAGAAAACTGGAAGTGGTGCTCTGGCTCAAAGTAGTAGAGCACTAGCCTTGAGCAGAAGAGTTCAGGGACAGCCCCACCACCACCGACCACACACACACAAAAAGTCCATGAGACTCTTAGCTCCAATTAACCAACAAAACACGTGAAGTGGAGGAGGTGTGGCTGAAGTGGCAGAGTGCCAGGCTTGAGCAGAAAAAAAGCATAAAGAAAGCATAAAGGATACTGAGTTCAAACCCCAATACCAGCATTAAAAAAGGGGGAGAGGGGCTGGGAAGGTAGCTCAGTGGTAGAGCGCTTGCCTTGCATGCATGAGGCCCTGGGTTCGATTCCTCTGCACCACATCAGCAGAAAAAGCCGGAAATGGCACTGTGGCTCAAGCAGTAGAGCGCTAGCCTTGAGCTAAAGAGCTGAGGGACAGCGCCCAGGCCCAGAGTTCAGGCCCCACAAGGGACCAAACAAAAAAACAAAAAAAAAACCATGCAATGCTTTGAGATGGAAATTTGGAGAAGGGCAGGGAGCTAGTGGAAGCCTGGCTCACCAAGATCTCCTAGGGTGACGTGGCCTAGCACATAGAGCCCCCCTTTCTTGAGCTGGTTGGCCAATCGCAGTAGAGGCAAGGCGCCCCGGGGGTTCCCCACCAGGAGCAGCAGCTGGGGACGCCAGAACTTCACGTGTTCCTTTCGGACATCCAGCCTGAGCAGATACTTGCGCACCTGAGGTTAGGGATGGGGAAGGGTATGGAGGAACAGCTCAAATGTACAGGCCCCACCATGGGCAGCGCTCCAAGGCTCTCCCCTATTGGCTCCCCATCCTCCATTCCCGCAAGCACCCCCAAACCTGGTGGAAAAGCAAAGCCTGGCTGACGTAGCCCCAGCTGCTGGGACCTCCTCGCGCTGTAAGCAGGGCTGAGAGCAGACCCATGAGAAGCAAGGAGCCGCCGGCGGCGCCAGGGCTGATGAGAAACATCATTAGCAGACAGGATGCCACGCCCGACAGGCAGGAGTGCCAGGAGAACAGGGTGAAGGTGGGGCTTGGGTGGGCAGAGGGAAAGAAGCGGGGAGGTGACTCAGGGAGGCTTTGAACAACTCCCTGTGGACCCCAGTCCCCAAGGCCCCCTTCTCCCCAACTGACTCAGTTACTCAGTTCTTCCCATTTCTCCCTCCTTTCCTCCAGGACCCCAGACGTCATCTGAGTTTCTCACCGGAAGTTGGGGGCCGACGCCCACTCCAGACTCAGACAGGACAGGTCTACCGCAGCGTAGGCTACCAAGTAAAAAACTGTGACCACAGCTGCCAGTGTGTTCAGCTTCCCTGCCAGGAGTACCAGCTGGGCAGAGACCAACAAGTAGCACATTGAGCAGCAATGCCAATGCACTCCCCACACAATGCCAGTGTGTCCCCCTCCCCCCAAAATGCCCTGGCAGCCAGACATTGGTGGCTCACTCCTGTAACCCTAGTTACTCAGGAGGCTAAGATCTGAGGATTGCAGTTCAATACCAACCCAGGCAGGAAACTCCATGAGATGCTTAACTGTTATGAACCCACAGCAAAAAGCTAGAAGCCAAGCTGTGGCTCAAGTGCTTAGAGCACTAGAGTTGAGTGAAAAAGTCAAGCAAGAAAAGCCCTTAGCCGGGTGCCAGTGGCTCACACCTATAATCCCAGCTATTCATGAGGCTGAGATCTGTGGATCACAGTTCCAACCTACCCTGGAAAAGAGTCCATAAGACTCTTCCCTCCTATTAATCCCCAAAAAGCCAGAAGTAGAGATGGAGCTCAAGTGGAAGAGCACTTGCCTTGAGCACAAAAGCTCAGGGACAGTACCCAGGCCCTGAGTTCAAACCCCAGGACTGGTGCAAAAAGAAATGAAAATCAAGCCAGGACTGTAATCCTAGCTATTCAGGAGGCTGAGAGCTGAGGATCACAGTTCAAAGCCATCTAGGGCAGGAAAGTCCATGAGACTCTTATCTCCAATTAGCCACCAGAAAATTGGAAATGGCGCTGTGGTTCAAGTGGCAGAATGCTCGCCTTGAGCTGAAGAGCTCAGGGACAGTGATCAGGCCCAGAGTTCAAGCCCCATGACTGCCAGAAAAAAGAAAAGAAAAGAAGAGAAAGAAATGAAAAGTACAAGCCCCCCTGCATACAAGCCCTAGTACTGGCACAAAAAATAAAAACTGTCATTGCACCTCCAGAAGTACCAGTACACCATCCTTCTTCCTAGAAGATGTCCTGGCCTGGGAAGAGCCTGCTGGCTCACCTGGACGAGGCCCCAAGAATATAGCACCGCTCCCCAGGGATTGCCACCTCTCGACACCAGCTTGGCCGGGGCCAGGATCACACCTGTGAAAACAGAATTGTACCTGAGCTGTCCGTCTGGGACATGGGAGGGCAAGAAAGACCTGGAAGGATGTGCCCGGATTGCCACGGGAACAGAAGGGGACTCACCGAAGAGGTCATCCTGGGCCAGAGCTTGCAGGATGCGGGAGGCACCGATGAGGGAGCTCATGGAAGCCGAGATTGCCGTGGCATAAATGCCAATCAGCACCAGCGGTGGCCACAGGCTAATGGCACGGAAGAAGCCGTAGTCCTCCTGAAGCAGGGTTCTTGGAGGGAAGGGAAGAGGACAGGGATAATGCATGAGTATAATCACGGAGTTCTAGAAGAAAGCACTAGTGACACCATGTAAGTAAGAAGCAGACTCACTATGTAGCCAGTTTGGGCTACACAGACACTTTTAGGTGAGCCAGGGTTATCTGGAGAGACTCCATCAAAAACGAAAAAGAAGGCAAAGCTGGGCATTGGTGGCTCATACCTGTCATCTTAGCTACTCTGAGGAGATCTGAGGATCCAGGTTTGAAGCCAGCCGGGATAAGAAACTTTTATCTCCAATTAACCAGGAAAAAAGAAAAAAAAAAGCTCGAAGTAGATGTACGGCCCAAGTGGTAGAGCACCAGTTTTGTTTTTTTGTTTTCTGTTTTTGTCAGTCACGGGGCTTGAACTCTGGGCACTCTACCACTTGAGCCACAGTGCCACTTGTGGTCTTCTGGTGGTTAATTGGAGATAAGAGTCTCACAGACTTTCCTGCCCTGGATGGCTTTGAACTATGATCCTCAGATCTCAGCCTCCTGCATAGCTAGCATTACAGGTATGAGCCACCGGTGCCCAGGAGAGCACCAGTTTTTTTGTTTTTTGTTTTTTTTTGGTCCAGTCGTGGGGCCTGAACTCTGGGCCTGGGCACTGTCCCTCAGCTCTTCAGCTCAAGGCTAGCGCTCTACCACTTGAGCCACAGCGCCACTTCTGGCTTTTTTCTTTTTGCTTATGTGGTGCTGAGGAATCGAACCCAGGGCCTCATGCATGCAAGGCAAGCGCTCTACCACTGAGCCACCTTCCCAGCCCGAGAGCATCAGTTTTGAGTGGAAAAAAAAAACTAAGGTACGGCGCCCAGGGTCTGAATTCAAGTCCCAGTCCTGGCTAAGCCCCTCCTCCCCCAACCCAAGTGCTCACAACTGGCTAAGGACTGGCTTCCACTGCAGGCAGCAGCTCTAATGCTCTCCACCTTAACCAACACCCCATGCACCCTCAGGGACCCAGGGCCAGGGACCCCCTCCTCCTCAGGTACCTGTCACAGGTGAAGCTGGAGAGGAAGAAAAGCAGGATGTAGATGAAGAAGGTGTAAACCACTGCGATAATGGTGCCTAGAGGTATCGCCCGACTGGGGTCCTTCAGTTCCCCTGAAGGGAGGGGCGCAGAGGGAGAGAGTTCAGCCCTCCTGCCATCCCCCTCTATCCCTCAGGGTGGTAGCCTCTTCCCCCTCGCCAGCAGGAAGGGCCTCTCACCTGACATGTTGGCCCCTGCCATAATGCCTGTGCAGCCATTAAAGAGAACTGCAAACACACTGGCGAAGGTCATCATGGTGCCTGTAGTGTAGTCCTGGGCGTAGCTGGCTGGGATGGTTCCCAGGAAACAAAGAGGGTCAGCATCCCGCTGAGGATGCAGGCAACATCCCACAATGCCCCTCATCTACCCACTGCCCTCACTAGGACCCCTCCCCCATTCTCCTTGTTCCAGGTTCTGATCTGAGTTCCCTGGGCCAGCTCCTGGCACAGAAGGCTGGACCTGCCTTCTCTCAACAGGACTCTGTTTTTATTTGTTTGTTTTTTTGCCAGTCCTGGGGCTTGAACTCAGGGCCCAGGCACTGTCCCTGAGCTTCTTTTGCTCAAGGCTAACGCTCGAGTCACAGTGCAATATCTGGCATTTTCTGTGTATGTAGTACTGAGGAATTGAACCTGTGGTTTCATGCATGCAGAAAAAGCAGAAAAAGTCGGAAGTGGCGCTGTGGTTCAAGTGGTAGAGTGCTCGCCTTGAGCTGAAGAGCTGAGGGACAGCACCCAGGCCCAGAGTTCAGGCCCCATGACCAACAAAAACAAAAAACAAAACAACAAAACAACAAAAACCCCAGCCAAACAGGATCATAAGGTCCTGAGTTCAAGAACTCTGGGCCTGGGTGCTGTCCCTCAGCTATTCAGCTCAAGGCTAGCACTCTACCACTTGAGCCACAGTGCCACTTCCGGCTTTTTTCTTTTTTGCTTATGTGGTGCTGAGGAATCGAACTCAGGGCCTCAGGCATGCAAGGCAAGCGCTCTACCACTGAGCCACCTTCCCAGCCCATCAATTCCTCTAAGACCCCAACTGTTCTATGATCTCTTTCCACCAGGCCAAGCCAAACCCACATGTACCAGCACTGTACTGGGGTTAAGACCCGGCCCCTGATACTTTCTAACGCATTTCACTGCAGTGATGCTAAGGGCCCAGCCCCCACCCCCAGTGGCTACCATGCCCAGCTCACCTCCTAAATTATCCTTTAGGGTGCTGCTGTTGAAACCCGTGAAGTGACCAAACCGAGGTGGCAGAGAAGAGCCATTGGTGCCATGCCGAGGAGTTATAGGGATGCTCTTGGGCCCCACTGCCACAAAGCTCACCAGGACAGAGGCCAGGGAGCCAGACACGAGCAGAAATGTAAGGAAGGAAGCGCGGGCATAGAGGCCAGCTCCCAGGGTGCACACCCCACCCACAAGGCCCAGCAGCAGGGACCCGTACAGCAGGTTCCAGCCGTAACCCTGGGGGAGGACTTGCAGTCCACTCGACTTTGTGGCATCTGAGGACAGAAAGGCAGGGACAGCGTTAGAAAGTCTGACCTAGCCAGGTGCAGTGGCTCACCCCTGTAATCCTAGCTACGCAGGAGACTGAGATCTGAGGACTCTGGTTGGAAGCTGGCCCACACAGAAAAGTCTGTGCAACTTTTATTTCTAAGCAGCAAAATAAGCCAGAAGTGGAGGTGTGGTTCAAGCGATAGAGCATTAGCCTTGAGTGAAAAAGTTAAGAGATAGCATCCAGGCCCTGAGTTTAAAACCCCAGTACTGGCACACGCGCGCAGACGCACACACACACGCGCACACACGAGCGCGCGTGCACACACACACACACACACACACAAAATAAGCTCCCTATGGGCAGGAATGGTCTCTGGGATGTCCATATCTCCTGCACGAAGTTGGCTACACAGCATAAAAAACAACCAGCAAATGCACCCCCGTCGAGAACTCTCTCCCTTAGGAACCCACGATCTGCGACTCTGCAAACCCTCAGCGTCACCCAGATCCCAGTGGGAAGAACACAGACCAGCACCAAAGACATCCAGCACAGACTCCACCAGCCCCAGCAGGGAGACCGCACAGCCGCACACATTCGCCAGGTAAAACATGAGGCCAATGCTGCCCCCGACCTCAGGCCCCAGTGTCCGGCTGATCATGACTAATAGAAGCAGAGGGCCACGGTAAAGGAAAAAGACATTGAAATGGAAGTGGGACATGGGGCTCACACCTGTCATCCTACCTATTCAGGAAGCTGAGATCTGAAGATCATGGTTCAGAGCCAGCATGGGCAGAAAAGTCCGAGAGACTCTTATCTCTGATTAACTACCAAAACACTGGAAGTGGAGCTGTGGCTGTGCTAGCCTTGAGCACAAAAGCTTGGCGTCTAGGCCCTGAGTTCAAGCCCCAGGACTAGCACAAAAGAAAGGAAGCAAGGAAGGAAGTAAAGAAGGAAGGGAGAGAGGGAGAAAGGAGAGAGAAGAAAAAAGAAAAAGAAATAGAAACCAGGTGCTGGTGGCTCATGCCTATAATCCTAGCTACTCAGGAGGCTGAGATCTGAGGGTCGCAGTTCAAAGCCAGGTGGGAAACTCCATAAGACTCTTAACTCCAATATCGACCAGAAAACAAAACAAAAAAAACTGAAAGTAGCGCTGTGACTCAAAGTGGTAGAGTGCTAGCCTTGAGCTGAAGAGCTCAGGGACAGCGTCCAGGCCCTGAATTCAAGTGCTATGACCAACCCCGACCCTTACCCCCCGCCCCCCCAAAAAAAACCCAAAAAATGAAATAGAGCTGGCCTCCAGGCCAAGCCTTATCTCTGTAAATGGCTACTGAGTTCCCTGTTACATGTATCCAGGGCTTGGTACAGAGCTTCTGTAAGCCACCAATGACCTCTATACCTGGCTTTCGTCATCTCAAAACTGACTACAGGGCAACACTTAAGGGACAACTTGCCCTGTCCCAACAGATGGAAGATACTGACCACCTTCCTCACCCCCCCCCAAAGCCTCAAGAGACCAGACCCCCATCCATCTGCTGCAGGATACAATATGCTCCGCCCCCTCGCACAGCTCCATTGGTGGCGATGGCACAGACAGAGAGGACGGTGAGGGCCAGGATGAAGTATGCAACCAGAAGCATGGCCAAGGCCTGCAGCAGCCCAGCGTGGCCCACCACGAACCCTGGATGTGAGGGGCAAAACAGGTCACCTGGGCGCTCCCACTCCTCACTTCCTACCCCCACCCCACTGGGTAATAGCCTCCAACTCAAGCCCTCTAGCCCCCACTTCTCCTAGGGATCCTCCCCTGCCCCAGCCTGGCACACCTCTCCTCCAACTTCTTCCCCCAACTCACCAATCCTCAAGAAGACGACAATACTGAACATGGACAGGACAGTGGGCACCACCACACCTAGGAAGGTGGAGAGCTTCCGGGCAGGGAAGGCAGCCCCCTCTTCCCCCAGGAGCCGGTAGGCCAGCAGAGGGGAGTTCTCACTGGCCATGGCTGAGCACAGGTAGAAGAACCCACAGATGGGTCTGTCCGGCGACCTGGAAATGAGATCATACAGCGTAGATAGCCCCCTCCCCAAACAAAGCCCTAACCATACACCCAGGAGGTTCTCCAAAAGGAGAGCTTTGGGGAAACACACACACACACACACACACACACACACACACACACACACACACCGTGTATACACAGTCAGGCAGCTCAGAAGAGCCCTTGGATGGCCCCCAAAGCGCCGTCCCACAATCTTGGGTCCCCTGCCCCGGTATCAAGGCCACTCCTCCCCGAGTTCCTACCCCCTTGGCACCCCGGTTTCGCCAGCCTCTCAAACCCTGCAGCAGAGGAAGCAAATCTCCCAAAAGGGAAGTAAGTTACCGGCAGGGCCTCCTCGCAGTCCCTGACCCCGCAGCCCCAGCCCCTCCAGGCCACCTCCCAGCCGCAGGCAACGAGAAAACTAACTTCCAAAGCCCGCTCTCTGCCAGCGTCCCCATTCTCCAGACTCCTCCCAGCCACACAGAGGTGCCTACCTCTCCACCAACCCAAGCACCCCTCAATGACCGGCCCAGGCCGGCTCGTCCCCTCCACGCACGGTCCCCGGTCCGCCTCCCCCACTGGCCGGCTCGGCCCGCTCGCTCCCGCGGAGGGTGGGGTGGGCGGCCCGGCCTCCCCCTGCAGGCGCACCCTGCCGCTGGGCGCGCAGGACGCTCGCTCGCTCCTCGGGGGCCGGTCAGGCTCGGGGCGCTCCGATCCCCGCGCGCCGGGGAACCCGCTACACCCGGAGGGGGCGCGGGGCCGGAAAAGGCAGCCGGCTGCCGGGATGCCAGGCCCAGAGCCTGCCCACCTCCCAGCAAGGCGCCTCATTGGCCCAGAAGTAGGCCCCGCCCCTGGGCGTGGTCTTCCGATGGGCGTCTCTGACATATGGGCGTAGCGTGTGGAGGCCACGCCCCCGCCTCCCGGCCCGCGGTTAGCGCTGCTGGAGCTGGCAGGGGTCCATCTAGGTGTCCATCTCCGACAGGGCGTGAACCACGGTCCTTACAGCTTTCACCCCCCCCCCACCCCGTGCGAACGACCTCATGCCAGCCCCGACGTGCCCCCTGGAAGGAGCTGCGGGGCCAGCGGAAGACAGCCCGGGTGGGCGGGGCCAGGACACCTGGCCCAGGTGCAAGGCGAGGCCCTGTGAGCCTTGGTCGCGATCGGTCGGTGCCCTCGGAGCCGGACTTTTCCAGCCTAGTGAGACGCTACAGGCCCGTGAGGTCTCGGCTTCGCCCCTCGCCCCAAGCGCGGGGCCCAGCCCCTGCCCGCCGCCGCGCTCTCCGCTTCCGCCACCAGGAGGAGCCCCGGTCCACTGATCCGGGCGGGGGGCCGGAGCCGCAGGCAAAGGCCTGTCCATCTCAGCATCTTCCCTGCCTGGGAGGAGCTCTTCCCTCCAGGTTCACCCAACTCTCAAGTCTGCGGGGTAGGGCCCCCTTTGCTCTTTCATGTTCCATCAACAACCTCCATTCTTTGTAAAAAAAAAAAAAAAAAAAGGGGGTGAACTGGAAAATCTTAAGATTCATAAGCATGAGACTTGATTATTTTTGTGTGTGTGGCAGCCCTGGGGCTTGAACTCAGGAACTGGGCACTGTTCCTTAGCTTTTTAGTTCAAAGCTCGCGCTCTACCATTTGAGCCACACCTCCAACTTCAGGGTTCTTGCTGATTAATTGGGGATGATATTCGCACACTTTCCTGCCAGGAACTGTGATCCTCAGATCTGAGCTTCCTGGACCAGCTAGGATTACAGACTTGAGCAACCAGTACTTAGCAATTTTTAAAACACATTGCAACTATGTATGAAGATGACATAAGGAATCTCAATGAAAGCTATTGATCAATAGAGGAGTGGAAGGATTGGCACTGGTGACTCACAACTGTAATTCTAGCTACTTAGGAGTCTGAAATGTGAGGATGTGATTTGAAGCCAGCCAGAGCAGGAACGTCTGTGAAACTTATCTACAATTAAGCACCAAAAAAAAAAAGGAAGTGAAGCTATGGCATTAGCAGCTCAAGGATAGTGCCTAGGCCCTCAGTTCAAGGCCCAGGACTACCACAAAAAAAAGAAAGATGATTGGATATGAGAATGCATATTACTGTTTTTGTTTTTGTTTTTTGGGTCCGGTCGTGGGGCCTGAACTCTGGGCCTGTGCACTGTCCCTCAGCTCTTCAGCTCAAGGCTAGCGCTCTACCACCTGAGCCACAGCACCACTTCCGGCTTTTTTTCTTTTGGCTTATGTGGTGCTGAGGAATCGAACCCAGGGCCTCAGGCATGCAAGGCAAGCGCTCTACCACTGAGCCACCTTCCCAGCCCGAGAATGCATATTATTCTGAACAAAATACAACATATTCATGGCTGAAATACCTTAGTGCAATTAATACGCATCCACAAATGACAAGGAAATAAAATAGACACTGTTGTTGGGGGAGTGGATCAAACAACAGGAGGAGAGTGGTCCAAAAGAGAAGGAGAATGAAGAATAACGGTCCAAGTACTTTATTTGCATTTGCATGTGTGAAAATAAAACAATATGCCCTGTTGAGAAGGGAGGTAGGGAGAATGACAAAGGGGTGAATTTAAACCAGATACATTTTATGCATGTTTGACACAATGAAACATGCATACATGATACAACGACACTCCCTTTATATAATTAAAGTATACTAGTTAAAAAGAAAAAAACGGGGGGGGGGGGGGGGGGGGGGGGGAGCTGGGAAGGTGGCTCAGTGGTAGAGCGCTTGCCTTGCATGCATGAGGCCCTGGGTTTGATTCCTCAGCACCAAATAAGAAAAAAGAAAAAAGCCGGAAGTGGTGCTGTGGCTCAAGTGGTAGAGCACTAGCCTTGAGCTGAAGAGCTGAGGGACAGTGCCCAGGCCCAGAGTTCAGGCCCCACAACCGGACTCAAAAAATAAATAAATAAAGAGTGCCAGCTTTGAACAAAAAGCCCAACAAGTCCCTGAGTTCAAGCCCTAGTACTGGCACAAACAAACACAGCTCTGGCATTCTACAATCAATTAATCAGCCAAAAGCTGGACACGTGACTCAAGTGGTAGAGCCCTAGTCTTGAGTGAAAAGCACCAGCTTTGAGTGAACTGGAATCTAAAAATAATAAATAAGTACAACTGTTTCCAGCAGCAGTTGAATATGGCCGCAGTAAATGTGACCCAACCAAGGCAGCCATCTTGCTTCAGAGTCATGACCATTAAACTCAAATGGGCCTTCATTGCCACCAGGGACTCCCACCGCCTTTTCCCAAGTTCTTCCTCATTTGTAGATTCAAATCCTCATCCTTCCCAAGCTTGCCCTGCCTTTCTCACGTTACTTTCAAGTCCTGCTTTCCTTTTACTTATTATTTTTAGATTCTAGTTCACTCAAAGCTGGTGTTTTTCACTCAAGACTGGTGCTCTATCACTTGAGCCACATCTCCAGCTTTTGGCTGGTTAACAGATGGTAGAACCTCAAAGACTTTTCTGCCCTGGCTGAATGTGAACTGTAATCCTCAAATCTCAGCAGCCTCCTGGGTACCTAAGATTACATGAGTGAACACTGCTGCCTGCCTGGCTAGGGATTGAAGTTGTTGTTCTTGTTTTTGTTGTTTATTTTTACCATTCTTCCACACACACTGCCTCGGTATCTCATCCAGTCTCATAGTTTTGTTTTTGCCGGTCCTGGGGCTTGAACTCAGGGCCCAGGCACTGTCTCTGAGCTACTTTTGCTCAGGGCTAGCGCTTTACCATTTGAGCCACAAAACTACTTTCAATTTTTTCTATTTACATGGTAATGAAAAATAGAACCCAGGACTTCTTGCATGCTAGGCAAGCACTATACCACTTAGCCACATTCCCAGCCCCTCATAGTTTTAAATGCCATCTAGTAATAGTGCCTCAAGGATGTATCTGTAGGGGCTGGGAAGGTGGCTCAGTGGTAGAGCGCTTGCCTTGCATGCATGAGGCCCTGGGTTTGATTCCTCAGCACCACATAAGAAAAAAGAAAAAAGCCAGAAGTGGCGCTGTGGCTCAAGTGGTAGAACGCTGGCCTTGAGCTGAAGAGCTGAGGGACAGTGCCCAGGTCCAGAGTTCAGGCCCCATGACCGGACCCAGAAAAAAAAAAAAAAAAGTATGTATCTGTAGCTCAGACCTCTACTCTGAACTTGAGAACATTCCCATTTTTTCTTAGCATATATCCTCCCTCATTACCCCTGTCCCATAGTTATCGGCCCTCAAGCCCCTTCTACAGTAGAGAAGCCAGTTTATGAACATACTTGCCTCTCCTCCTTTGTTTGGCAATTGAATAAAGCTCTTCTGTCTTCCCAACAAATTCATCTCTTACACTGTTTGTTTTTTTTTTCTTCTGTGTTTTATTTTGCTTCTAGGCCTCCATCTAAGAATCACCTACTAATATTTCTGTTTCTTTTGTTTTCTTCTTCTTTTTCTTCTTTTTGGCAGTACTGGGGTTTGAACTCAGGGCTGTACACTTGCTAGGCATATACTTTTTTCTTTTTTAAATGTCTTTTTGACCAACCAGGACATTGATCCACCTATTTTACACTTTTTATTGCAGCTAGAACAATGTTCCAGCCAGGCTCATACCTGTAATCCTAGCTAGTCAGGAGGCTGAGATCTGAGGATCACGGTTCAAAGCCAGCTGGGGCAGGAAAGTCTGTGAGACTCTTGTCTCCAATAAACCAAAAGAAAACCAGAAGTGGTACTGTGGCTCATGTGGTAGAGTGCTCACTTTGAGCTGAAGAGCTCAGGGACAGCGCCCAGGCCCAGAGTTCAAGCCCCACAACCAACAATAACAACAACAACAACAACAACAACAAAAAGCACTCCAATATTCCATATACCTAAATGTGGCTTCTGGGATGATTCACCTTACAACAGTGGAGCTTGAACTCTGGGCCTGGACACTGTCCCTAAGCTCTTCAGCTCAAGGCTAATACTCTACCACTTGAGCCACAAAGCCACTTCTTGTTTTCTGGTAGCTAATTCAAGATAAGAGTTTCATGGAAGCTAGGCGCCAGTGCTTACGCATGTAATCCTAGCTAGTCTGGAGGCTGAGATTTAAGGATTGCAGTTCAAAGCCAAGCCAGGTAGGAAAGCCCATAAAAACTCTTTTTTTTTTTTTTTTTGCCGGTTGTGGGGCCTGAACTCTGGGCCTGGGCGCTGTCCCTCAGCTCTTCAGCTCAAGGCTAGTGCCCTACACTTGAGCCACAGCGCCACTTCTGGTTTTTTCTGCTTATGTGGTGCTGAGGAATTGAACCCAGGACCTCATGCATGCAAGGCAAGCACCCCTGAGCCACCTTCCCAGCCCCATAAAACTCTTATCTCCAATAAACCACCAGAAAACTGGGAGTGGCGCTGTGGCTCAAGTGGTAGAGAGCTTGCCTTGAGCTGAAGAGCTGAGGGACAGTGTCAGGTCCCCAGAGTTCAAGCCCCACAACTAACAAAAAAAAAAAAAGGTCTCACTGACTTTCCTGCCCAGGCTGGCTTTGAACCTGGACCCTCAGATCTCAGCCTCCTGAGTAGCTAGGATTACAGGTGTGAGCCACCAGCGTCCAGCTATATCTAGCTCTTGATTGAAAAATGGGTCTTGTGTGTATGTCCTAATTGGCCTGGACTTTCTTTTCTTTCTTTCTTTTTTCCTTTCTTTCTTTCTTTCTTTCTTTCTTTCTTTCTTTCTTTCTTTCTTTCTTTCTTTCTTTCTTTCTTTCTTTCTGTCTGTCTGTCTGTCTGTCTTCATTGACAGTCCTGGGGCTTGAACCCAG